CAGCCACAGTAATAAAGAGGGGAAAGAAGTATATACAAGCTCCCAAGTGTGTGTGAGTGAGTTTCAAAGGCGGGGGAGCCTGCCTCCATGGCAATGGTAGGGAACATTGGTCTCCTCAGAAGTCTCTTCTTGGTCACATCCCCTGAAGACAGAGGGTGAAACCAGAAACTGCACATGTGCACAGAGAGAATAGCCACAGTAATAAAGAGGGGGAAAAAGTATATACAAGCTCCCAAGTGTGTGTGAGTGAGAGAGTTTCAAAGGCGGGGGAGCCTGCCTCCATGGCAATGGTAGGGAACGTTGGTCTCCTCAGAAGTCTCTTCTTGGTCACATCCCCTGAAGACAGAGGGTGTACCCCAATTCTCACCCAAGGCAAAGCATCTAGTCATGAATGAGGTGGAAGTAATGGATCCCTTGACCCTCTGAATTGCATGCAGCAATGCGCCACCGACAGCCCAGAGGGCACTCCCTAAGTATCTCTAGATGAGCCCAGAAACTCCTTGAGCATCTTTACAACAGAACCTGGAGCTCACACCCCAGGTCTGGCTTCTTCACACGTGGACTCGCCCTAGAATCCTAGGCTTGGAAGAAGCAGACAGCAGAGCAACTTAGAAGGCCACGTGGGAAGTGGACGCTGGCGAAGAGAACCTTCGAGCATCTCCTTTGTGTCCTCAAGGGCACTCACAGTCACTTCCAGAAACAGCTGCAGGTAGTGGCTCCAGCAAACCCCCAAGTAGAATCGGGGTGGTGAGATGAACAGGCAGATGAGCGAGTACCAGCAACCCAAACCCACAGACAGCCTCCCCAGGAAGAGGCTGATGGTGTGAGCCCCATCAGGCACAAAGCAGAGCTGACTCACACTGCCGAGCTCTGTTGGCTGAGGTTATACTGATGGGTCTGTCATAGAAAAGCCCCAATCACCCACAGACAGCCTCCCCAGGAAGAGGCTGATGGGTGTGAGCCCCATCAGGCACAAAGCAGAGCTGACTCACACTGCCAAGCTCTGTTGGCTGAGGTTATACTGATGGGTCTGTCATAGAAAAGCCCCAATCCCACTACTCAGCCATTGGCCTTGAGTTTGAGTCTGTTCTGTCCAGGGGAACCCCAAGGGCCTTGTGGCTTTAACAGGAAGAAGTCCTCATTTTAGCAGCAATCGTTTTTCTTCTCCTCCTGCCACGGTGATTAAATTAGCAGGCTATTCTCTTCAGAGAACATGTGTCTATGGTCCCGGGAGGCACTGTCCACTTGCCTGTCTAATGGGTTTGGGGAGGGAAAGCAGGGATGTATGTATGTCCGTGTCCCTTCCCTCCCCTGTCCCTGGGAGGGTCTCTCCCACCTGGGATGGTCACCCAGTCAGCAGCAATGACTTCAGGAAGGGTGGTGCTGAAAGCTCAGCTGCAGGAGGCCTGGCAGGTGGCTGCGTATACACTGCTGCCCACTGTGGCCCCGCTGCTTAGGCTGCTGGTGGGACACTTGAGGGGCTTCATGCTGCTGTCCCTCTGGATGCGCAGGTGTTCCAGTCGCCAGCGCTCCCAGCTCTTCCGAAACTCCATCTGGACCTTCCGTGGGAAAAAAAAGAGAGGGCAGTGAGAGCCATCAGGCGAACCAACTGCCCACAAAATGGCCCTGTTATTACATTAGCAGGGAAGGGAAAAAAATCCACTGGATTATATTAAGAGACACAAGTCAAGGCCTTCAGGCGCCTAAATTAATATCCCAATAAAATTGTTTATTGTTGTCTCTTATTTTCTGCCTCTCCTCAGGAGAGAGACGGGCTTGATGACCTAATTGGTCCTTTCCATCTCTAAACTCGGTGATTCAGCTAAGTACCTTTTACAATCCATCACAGTATTATTTAACGGAAGAGAATGAGAGCTAGGGTGAGAGAGAACTGGAGAGAATGGAGTCTGATTTTAGAAAGCGCTCTCAGAGTCTGGCTTAGACAGCTCAAAGGGCAAGGCACAGCCCTGACCTTGGTGGTACCCACAGCAGTCTAAACTCCCTCAGGTGCTTTCGTTTTGTTGTGTTTTGTTTTGTTTTAAATCTGAGTATTTTTTTATGTGTGTGTCAGGGCAATATCTCCCTATGTAGCCCAGGTTGGTCTCAAACTCCTCATTCTCCTGAGTGCTGGGACTGCAAGTGTGAACTATCAAGCCCAGCTTTCTCTTCAGATTTTTTTTGCCCAGTCTCTGCATCTCCCAAGGGAGGAAGATGGGAAGGAAACGAGAAAGCTAAGACAAGGTACACCCCAGGGCTCCTCAGCCTGGCTTTGCCCCCATCCCATTCAGAAAAAAAGGCAGTGATCTTGGCTGGGCAACCTCCCCAGGTGAGCTCAGTCAATCAGAAGCCCAACTGTGCAGAGCTCCTGAACTTCCCAGGAGGAAGACACTTCTCAGGATCAGATCCCCAGAGCGGAAAGATATATGGAACACCGAGAAGCCCCAATCCCTTCAGGGCTTATGGTAGGGCTGTGGCCCTGTCACAACTGAGTGACTGGGCTGTTCTGAGCTGCACAGCTCATCCTGGGGGCCAAGACGATCTTCTGGGAATGAATCCTGTACGTGTGCTCCCACTGTTACCCCCAGCCTTTCCATGGAGTGTCTGGGGTCTGGACTCCTCTCGGACCCATGCCATCAAGGAGGGCCAGTTGCCAGCTGCTGTGTGCAAAAGGCGTTCTGCCAATTCCCCCACCTGCTACTAAGCAAATACCTCTCTTCTCCTCATGCCATCCATCTAGCTAAGCCCAGCCAGACATCTCATGTGGCCACACGCCATCCCTTAAAAGAACTTCTGTACTGAATAGAACTAAGATCACCCAAAGCTCGCCTGCCAGGGTTTCTTGGTGTACAGCCCCTTAGAGCCCAGGCCTGTCGGGGGAGGGAAGGAGACAGAGCAGACACCACCTATGGCTGCGCTACTTCAAGTCAGTTCCCTGACTGGCTGAGCTTGTATGCAACATGTACTAACGCCTGGGGGGTGGGGACTCCAAGCCCAATGGTGGCCTCCTTTTGAGTGGCTATGTATAGGTGGGCCAATCATCTCTCAACAGTCTTCCACTTGGAATAGGGGAGAGAAAGGTGGTACACTGAGGCACAGCTATGGAAAGCCACTTCAGAGACTGAAGAGGTCACAGTGATGCCAGCAGGCCTTGGAGCCCTGCCATATGGTATCTCCTGGTCCGGTCTCCCTTAGGACTTTTCCTGAACTTCCATGGTGGCTCTGGTCATCACAAAGGGGCTACAAAGAAGTCAGTAAAGTGTTTGCTGCCCAAGCATAAGGACCTGAGTTTGGATCCCCAACACCCACATAAGAAGCTGAGTACAGTGGTTCACGCCTACAATCTCAGGACTGGAGATGGGGGAGGGGGCATGGTGGTGAGATTCCTGAGGCTTGCTGACCAGCCAGTCTAGCCAATTAGTGAGTTCCAGATTCAATGAGAGACCCTGTCTCAATAAACAAGGTGGAGCCAGGTGTGGTAGCACACACCTTTAATCCCAGCACCCAGGAAGCAGAAGCAGGCAGATCTCTGTGAGATTGAGGCCAGCCTGGTCTACATAGTGAGTTCCAGGCCAACTGGGGCTACAGGGAGACACTGTCTCAAAAAACAACAATCAAAAAGGTTGAACATGATTGAGGAAGATACCCAACATAAGAACCTCTGGCTTCCACACCCATGTGCACACACATGCACCTGTATACACACTGTATGCATAACCCCCTTAAAAAAAACCCCACCATCTATAGGCCTTCCACAGCAACCCTACAAAACAGCCCCTGCTGTCACTCCCCAGGTAAAGGTGAGCAAAGAGAATGCCTTAAGTAATACCCCAGGGCTTGACCAGGATTAGAGGCCAGGTTCTAAGTGACTCCTCACAGTTGAACTCCTTCCTCCTACAGCTCTTGAAGTCCAGCTGGTCCCTGGTCCTGTCCCCTCCCACCTTAGCAGAGAGCACCTGGCAGTCATGACTACATCTTCCTTCTCTAAGCAGGCTGTGCTCCAGCGCTGTGCTCAGCATACAGCAGGCACTCACTCCATGTGCTTAATGAACCAAATGAGTGACCCAGTCAATGAACAGGCCTGCAACATGTGGTTCTGCTGCTGCTCGGTCAGGAAAATGAAGCAACAAAGAATGATTCAGAGGCTGGTGAGCTGGGCTCAGTGGGTAAAGTAGCTTTCTCCCAAGCCCCATGACTCAAGTTTGATCTGCAGAACCCATAGAATGGAAGGAGAGAACTCTGCAACTTGTCCTCTACACTCTCATTGTGATACATGCACACCGTCCCCTGAGTAAACAAATACATGTAAAAAAACACTCAGATCCAGGACTCCTGACTCAGCACCTACCTCTGCATGGTCTGATGTCACCTTTTCCTTGCCCACTGAGCTCTGCAACCCAGCACCACACCCTAAGCACTTTCTCTGGCCAGGTACCAAGTCAGCCTCAGGGTTTGGTAAACCTTGCTTACCTCTAATGACCCTTGGGGAGAGAAGAGGTGGGGGGTAAAGGGACTTGCCTGTGGTCACACAGCTTGGGAGTAAAGAATCAGAAGAGGCATTCACGATGGCTTTGGAGTCACCTCACTTTGGTCCTTAGACACGAGCCACAGCAAAATCATCTCCAGGCTCCGCTTCCCCTGTCCCTACATCCCATTTACCAGCAGCTGGTGCCTGCCTTGATAGACACATGAGACCAATGTTCAAGCCATCTTCTCAGGTCACAAGTACCTGACATTGCCATGGTAACCCCGGGTCTGGAGAACAGCTCTGGTGGGCAGAGGCCATAAGAGTGACTTGGGCACGCATATGTTGAATCACTTTGCAATAAAAAGAAGTGTGTCTATCCTGTGACCTGAGGGCTGTCTGCATCCCAGAACAGCTATGAATGTGACGTGACCCAAGACATTTGCAGATGACAATGTCATATCGTGATGTCAAAAGACTGGACCTCCCTCTTTGAAACAATCAATATCATGCTGGTAATTTAATCAGGGTCTCTTTAGCATGAGATTGGATCTTCCCCAAGCTCCAATATCATAGATATACCTCTGTGTGAGAGTCAGAGAGACAGAAGGAGAGATAGAGAGACACAGAAAGACAGAGAGACAGACACACAGAGACAGACAGAGGCATAGAAAAGAATATATAGTCAAGATGCACCCTTAATTCTCACCCACAGTGGAATAAGTGTCTATGCAAGAAAGACTGGGAATCCCCACTACACAGCTCCGCATCAGCCAATGGCAGCAAGCCCAGCAAGATCCCCACCACCTCTCCTCAGACCTTACCTCATTGTTGACAAAGCAGTACAAGATGGCCACCATCAGCCCCTGGAAACAAGAGGCATGGTAACAGAAGGAAAGCCAGAGGGAGAAACATGGGAGACTAAGCCCAACATCCCTCTCCTAAAATCAGGTGGCCCAGACAGTTTC